TCCAGGACTCAAACTGCAGTCAGTTTTATGGGACCTTAACCACTACACCACTTGCTGGCCCCAAGATACATATTTTTCAATTAATAAAGGACACATATGCTCACCATAGGGAGACAGGGAGACAGAGAGGAAGAGAGAGAAAGTACCCCAACATTGAGCGTGGTTATGCTGTAATTCCTCCGTCTCCATTTCTCCATCTTGCTGGGATTTGGGTCATGCATGCACATGCATCCAGAATGTTTTTCAAGTCATTAGGCTGATATTCAAACTGTGGTCTGTGTGTGGGATCTGGAGTCCTTGACCACAAGGCTATGGGGTGGCCCTTATCAAGATAATATTCCCCTTTGAAGAGAAAATCAGCAGCTGTCTGGAAAATTCACTTGTGTGTAAAACCTCATTGTAAAACTATGTTTGATCAATGAGGCCTGTACTATATTTTGTTTTCTTCTTCTTTTTTTTTCCAGTGTTTTTTTTGATTTTCTTCTGATTGCCAGTTAAATACAGAATTTTAATTTCATAGCTTAACAATGAGAGATCATACACTGAAGTCAATACATGGTATCTAGTATTTCAGTCTAAGCTCATCCATGTACATAACTGAAATCAATTGCAAGGAAAGGTCTAACAAGTGCTAGGGGAACTTTGTAGTTTTTACAGCAATTAAAACTATATTTTGCACACTGAAGTCATCATAAGGGCAAAGTCAGAGCTTTTATATTTGCATTTATTCAACTTTGAAAACACTACTACAGATGAATTTTAAAACAAAAACAAAAACAATAGCAAGTAATGAGCATATTATGATTACAGTCCTTTGCTCATTCACTACTGCATATAAAATACTGCACTGAGTGTTGTTTACTGGTCCCATTAAGAGGTTTGACACTGAACACCACCTCCAGGATGATGATCATTATCCTCATATGCTTCTCCATTGTAACGGTCTTTCCTGATTTGGATCAAAGTCCATCAGTTCTACTTGGTCCATTTCATCAGTCTTGTCTACTTCCTTCCTCTCAGGTAGAAGGAAATTCTGCCATAGGGCAGGAGCCACCATACCCCAGAAGGAAATTCTGGAAACAGAGTTTATCGGGAGACAGAAAGCCATTCTCAAAGAATTTACCTTAAATTCGAAGATTAGATAACCCTTCTCTTATGGTCTACAATGAATCAGCATACTTTCATTTAACACACACTTGATCTCTCCATGCTTGACGATTTGACCTTGATGAGAGGTGATGACTATGGTTTGTTTGTCAAGAGTGGAAACTGGCTTTTGGAAGTCACACAATGCTTCAATCAGCTGTATGTCCAAAGATAGGAAAAGGTCTCCTTCTTGAGTAAAAGCAGCATGATCTTTCTGATCTAATACAAAGATAGTATCTCTTGGCTCAGTCCTGGTTCTTGGTCTCTTTTACCATGGAATGTTATCTTCTGACCATCTTTCATGCCTTGGTCAATATGAACTTCTAGAATTTCTTCTCTTGAACTATCTTCCTTCCATCGCAACTTTTACATCTATCTTTAGGACTGATCCATTCCCCCTGGCCTTGGCACTCCATGCATACAGACTGAATTTGCTGCAGCATTCCAGATCCAATCTGATGAATTCTTATTTGCATTCCAGTACCTCAGCAATTGGGACAGCACTCTACCATTCCTTTCTTACCACCTTGGCCTTCACATTTGTCACAAATCACATTCTTTTGCAGGGCCGGTATTCTTGTTGCACCTTTATATAAATCTAAGGTTACTGACAGCTGATGCACATTTTCTCCTCTTCTTTTTCTCTACATCCTTCCTCCTCCTCCAAAAAAATCTGTCAAAGATGTTCAGTGGGGAGCCAAAACCATCACCTGCTCCACTCTCTTTAATTGCCTTCGCTCCTTCTTTGTCATATAATTCCTCTTTCTTCACATCAGAGAGAACTTCATAAGCTTGAGAAATCTGCTTAAACTTCTCGACTTCATTTGGATTTTTATCAAGGTGGTACTTCAAGGCCAGTTTCCTGTAAACCTTCTTCAATTCTTCCTGGATTGCATTGATTGACCGCCAAAACATCATAGTAAGTGGTTTCTTTCACCATTTTCTACAGCTGGTGAGCAGACTGAGGCCACTGTGGGGAGCAGGAAGGTGTGTGTAGCTGTGCGCAGCTCAGGCAGCCACCACTCCTCCACTTCTGACCTAGCATTCTGGAAAGTTCCTGAATTTAGTTTTCTTAAAAGTTTGCTGTTACATTTAAAATGCTATCTTCAGACAGATGTTTGTTTATTACTTGATTAACTATCTTTGATGATACCATTCCCTCCTTGTTCAAGTTGTTTAAGAAAGTGTCACTATAAAATGTTGATATTGGCCATGGCAAGATCAGGAGATTGACCCACAGATCTAATTCTGTTCCAAAGAATTTAAGGGACTTTCCAAATTAATTCATTTGGATTCCACTTGGAATTTGCAATTCAGAAAGGGATTGATAGAAGTTTATGTTTTTACCATCTGTAAAGATAAGGTTTACAAAGCAAATGACATGTTTTCCTTTCAGGAAACAAGCTTCTTAAGTACCATTAAGTTTTGTTTGTCTGTTCACAAACAAATGGTGTGTGGTATATAATATTACTGATGTACCTAATTTTAAAATTTAACTTCAAAGGACTTTACTTGACAACAGTCTATTAGTATACTTGAAATGATAGATTTTGTGTGTGTATGTGTTTTCTTCTTTTTTTTTAGAGTCAGATTTTTCTTCTATAACCCGTCTTTCCTTAAATGTGTCTAGATTCTTGCAGTTAATGCCTCATTTTAATACCCCATTTTATCAATTAATTGTCTTGAATACTGGAATTGAATTTTAATCATTTTCAATGTGGAGATGTCTGTTCCAATACATTGATCTATTCAGAGTGAGTCGCTATTTTTTCCTTACTCCTCATCTGTCCTTCTCCCCAGTGTTAGTAAAGATTCTGCTAGGCTTTCCCCTATTTTTCCACCTCTCCTTATTTTTCTAGAACTAGATACATACAGTACTTCAGAAAAGAAATCATGGCTGCCTCTCAGAGATACATGATGATATTTTTTTACAATTTTCCAGTAACAGTTCAACAGTGCCTCCAGGCTCTGATGGCTGTGATTCAAGTGGTCCCTTGGGCTGTTGATGTCTTTCAGATTAGAGCAGTCCATTTTTTGCCTGGCCTAATGGACTAGCTCACTTGAACACCTAGCAGAATCCTTTTTTCCAGATGACTACATTCTTGACTTAAACAAAGCTGAGCTTAAATTGCTAGGGACTGGACCTGGAGACTCCTGGCTTTGTCAACTTTTGACCTTAGGAAATTACTTTATCCTTAATGGTCTTTAATTCCACCATCTGGTGATAATTTTAAAAGATCTTTCCTGGTTCTGAAGTTTTTATTTTTTAAATTTGTATTTATTTATTTATTTTAAGAAAGATTTTTGCTATAGGGTGCAAGCTCTTGCCAGAGAGACCGAGAGAAACAGAAAGAAAGTGAGAAATCACGCCCCAGGAGGATGGCCACATTGCAATCCCTTTTCCTTCATTCTCCTTTTGGGATTTTGGCATGCACACACACATGCCTGGTGTGAGTTTTAAGCCACCAGGAACTTGAACCACTGGTGGAGAGGAGCTATATCTCACTCATATTCATATCACCAACCCTTATCACTGGACTCAACCACTTGAACCAGTTGACTACGTGGGGAAAGGAAAGGAGTGAAATGTCCTTATCCATAGCCTAGGTCAGGATATATAATTTTCTCTTTTTAAATTTTATTTATCATTATTATTTTTAAAAATTTGCTATAGGGCACATGCACTCATCAGAGACAGACACAGAAAGAGAGAGAAAAAGTGAGAAAGCAAGCTGCCAGATTCAGGACTTGAACTGTGGTCGACCATGTGGTAGTCCAACACCTCAACCACCACACCACCTGCTGGCCCCTCTTGTTTTGTTTCTGTTTTTGCTATAGGGCATGTATCCTTACTAGGAAGAGATGGAGAGAGGAAAAGTGAGAAAGCACTCCAGGGGAGATAGCCACACCATTATCCTCTCTCCTCCATTTTTTTTCTCAGGATTCCAGGCACGCAAGCACAGGCACCCAGTGTGCCCTTCAAGTTACCAAGTCTGGGACTCAATTGCACAGCCAGCCATGTGAGATCCAGCCACATTAAGCACCATGCCATTGGCCAGTGCAAGATATATTATTCTAAGACTTTCCAGATCCCCCCCCTTTTTTAAAAAAAATTCTGAGCATTAACTTTTATTTCTTATTCTCAAAAGTGGACATATGGTGACTTATCTAGCCTACATTCTGCTCTTCTGCTGACTTGATTCAAGTCTCAGTGTGTTTTGTGCAGACTCTAAGGCGCAGAGGTCCTCACTTCTAGCAAGGGAAGATCAAACTGAAGAGGGATTCGGTGCTTCATGGTCTGTCCAGCTTACCTTATTAATTTATTATTAGTAGCCCGACAAGAGATATATGCCCAATGTACAATATTCTGTTTGTCTTATACACATTAATCCAAAGAAACATAAAATACCATTTAAAAGCCCTAGAAGAAAGGGGGTAATAAGAAGTCGGAACATTGAAGAGTTGTGAAGCACTGTTTTCCAAATGTCAACAAAAAATTAAGTGCGAACTGAAATGCTGAGATTTACAGGCACTGTGTGTAGAATGTGCAAAAGTTTGCAAAGTTTTTCTTTTCTTCTTTTGGCATTACTTTAAGAAACTGTATCAAATATATTTCTTACAAATACAAAGCTTACTTTCTCTCCCAACTGAAGACAAGTTTAAAACAATTCAAAGTTATCAATACACAGTACAATAACACAGGTGAACCAGACAAATTCTTTTTTTTTGTGGAAAAGAATAACAAACCAATATTAGGATGTCTAAAGACTCAACAAATAGCAGTCTAGAAGCCACCCAGAAAAACTTTTCTGTTGCCCAAACCTTTTGTTCTTCTAAAGCCACCATTCCACCAGCTGAAGATTTTATATGCAGATACCCAAATACTGTAAACTCTAACTTGTATTTCCTTCATCAGCTTTTGGCTGTGAAGTTTCCTCTGTTGTCTTTGTTGAATCCTTTGGTTTTCTTCCATTCTTGGACACTTTGGTACGAGAATTATTGCTTTTGTCCTTTGCTGACTTCTGTGAGGTTTCTGTAGTTGAGGGACAGCTGTCTAAATCCTCTGAGAGGGCATCATGGGGTCTTGGTCACCTCTGGGTTTCTCTGATTCCTTTGTAGGTGGCTTTGCTGGTTTGTCCTTCTTGTCGTTGTCTAGGAGGTGTCTATACTCTGGTGGGATGGTGTCATCTCTTTCTCCTAGCTTGTCTCTATGTTCGGCTTTAGCCCTTTGCTTTACTTTATCCTCCATTGGCTTGTTCTCATTGGGGTCAGGTCACTACCCTCCACAGTTCAAACTGCTACCAACTCTCCCCAAAATGGCTACATTAGCTCCTAACTTAGTCTTTCTTCATGCTGCCTTTGTCCTAGACTGTCAGAAAGTTTATCCAGGGCGTCATCCAGTTCTTTGTTGCTCTGCAGAGTGTCAGGGGGTGGGCCTGCAGCTTGGGGGGTTGAAGCTGGGATTTGAGAAACCACTTCAGAGATGGCAGCAGCAAGTTTAGCCTCTTGAAATTTAAAAGATGAAGTGTTTGGGAGACCATAGAAGTCCTCAGATAAAGCATCAAGAAGAAACTCTTCACTCAAAGGAGGAAGCACTTGGGCACTTCTGGCTGGAGTGGTTTTCCATCTTTATCCTTTATCTCTTTTAATCTGTACTCAGGAGGAATTGTTTCATCTTTCTCACCAAGTTTTTCATGGTCTTCTTCTTTGGATCTCTCCTTGATTTCATCCACCACAAGTTTTCCGTCTTCTGGGTCTGCTTCCCTTTTCCCAAGGCTACCAGCCAAGGCTTCCACAGCATCGTCCGGCACCGTGCCCTTCGAGGCAGCTGGCTTGGCTGCAGTGGACTGTATTGAGCAGGTGGAGGTCCGAGGCACCACCTCTGCCACAGGGGTTGGGGCAGCAGCCTTAGATGCTTCTGATTTTTTAGTTGGTTTAGACTGTTTTTCTTTATGTTTACTCTGGTCAAAATCTTCTGAAAGTTCATCAGTGAGTTCTGACTCACTCAGCGGCTTGGGTTTTTCTTCAGGCTCTGGCAGTAATGGTTTTCCATCTTTATCCTTGGCTAGTTTCAGTCTGTATTCGGACGGCACTGTCTCATCATCCTCACCGCACCTCTCTCGTTTTTCCTCTTTCGCTTTTGCCTTCTCCACCTTTCTTTTCTTCTCCTGGGGTGGAGCATCACTCCTGATTACCCCAGCGGACTGAGATTTTAAAACTTCTCCTGTAGATTTCTCCTTCTCAGTTTTCTTTCCACCAGGGGTGGGAGAACTGCAGGTGAAGTCAGACGACAAGGCATTGATAGCATCATCTGGCCCCATGGGTTTCGAAGAGTCTGGAGGAGGTCCTGTGATGCCTTCTGTTTTAGCCAGAAGTTCCCTATATTTTGGAGGAATTGTGGATTCTTTTTTACCCAGTTCTTCTATGTAGATCGAAGTCATTGGATCCAAAACTTCTGGTCTGGTGTATGCTGTATTATCATCTCCGGCTTCTTCAGGTGCTCCTAAGGTGTCTATTAAGTCATCCAAAGTGGCACCCATGCCCGACTTTCCAGATGGTTTATCCAGTTTGGAGTCAGCAGGTGCAGCTGGAGCTACTGACTTCTTTTCTTTTTTCTTGTCACCTGATTTGTCAGCTACACCAGCAACGATGCTCTCTCCACCAGCAGAAATGGTGTCTTGCGACTTTGTCTTTGGTTCTGTCGACTTCCCTGATGTTGGCTGCTCACTTGATCTGGAAACTGCTTTTTCCTTAGGAGCATGCTTGCTTCCTGTGTCTGGTACCTGCTTGGGTGAACTCTTTGGCTCCGTATGTTCCTTTGGCTTTCCTTCCTGGGATATTTTCTCGTGAACCGCAGATGGCTTAGTTGATTGTGATTTCTTTTCAGGCTCTGTCTTTATAGCCTTGGTTTTCCTCTCTCCTGGCTTTGAAGGTAATCCACTGGTTTTCTCATTGACATGCGTCTTATACCACCAGCTTGCAAATGCCATGGCGAAAACCAGCTGGGTTGGATCCGCGCAGCTACGACCCGGAGAAGGTGGGAGGTGCAGTGCTAGGGGTGCTGGGCTCACACCTGTCCCAGATCCCTCTTTTCCTTCTGTTGTGTTCTGAATTCATTATTCCTTCTACTGGGTTTCCACAGTGCCTTGCCCTTAAAAGCTTCCCATCAGAGAGTTCATGGTAGGATACTAAATTACCTATTTATATTATCTGTCTCCTCTTTGGGACAATGGGGCCATAGTGGACAGGAGCTATATCTCACTCGTATTCATATCATCAGCCCTCCACACAGACTCTGTGTACACAGGTCCTCAGGAATGACTGTTAAAGTAAAACAATAGAGGTGAAAAGCAATTGCTCAGATCCTGAGAGAGTTTTGTTTTTTTTATTCGTTTATTTATTTTTCTTTCTCAGAGCATTGAACAGGTAGTCAAAAGACACTGGCTTGATAACTGAGAGGCCCTTGGACAGCTCACTTAACCTACATTTGCCAAAATCATGCAGTAGAACTAAATATCAAATAAAATTACACACAAGGAAACACCTTGAAAAATAAAGAGCTATTAATGTTAATAGCATTACTTGAACCCACACTTTTCTTCAGTCTTCCTCCAGGTGCAATTCATTACCAACTCCTATTGGTGTCACCATTAATTAGTTCTCACATCTGTCTTCTTTCTACTTCCACTACCCTCCACAGTCCAAACTGCTACCAACTCTCCCCAAAATGGCTACATTAGCTCCTAACAGTCTTTCTTCATGCTGCCTGGGCCCTCTCCTTCCAAACTATGGATAGAGTAATCCTTGTTAAAAATGCAAATGCATTCCTCTTTACCACCCCAGGGGACTTGCAATGCCCTTAAGAAAAGACCCAAATCTTTCCTGTGGCATAAACTCTGATTGATGTGGTTCTTCTCACTCCTCTGGCCTTTTCTCACCTACCAGTCTCCTCCCTCTACTCTTCAGTCTCAGTGGTCTTGAACTTCTAAGGACTTGCCTTAAGGTAGGCTGTTTCCTATGTTTGGAATGTTCATCCTACTCAACCTCTCTGTGATAGGTTGAATAATGACTCCCAATGATAGATAGGTCCTAATTATTGAAACCAGTGAACGTTATCACGTCATTGGGGTTTTTGCAGATATAGATTAAGGGACTATTCTCCAAATGAGGAGATTATCTTGATTTATCCTGAAGGGACCGAAGTGTAATCATGTGGGTCCTTAAAAGAGGGAACTGGAAGGGGACCAGCAGTTAGCATAATGGCTATGTTGCTGGACTCCCATGTAGTTGACTGAGGTTTGAGTCCAGCAGGCGGGGGGCGTGGTGGTTAAGGCGCTGGATGCTCCCCCATGGCTGACCACGGTTCAAGTCCTGGACCTGGCGGCTTGCTTTCTCATCTTCTCTCTCACTTTCTGTCTGTGTGTATCTCTCTGGTCAAATTAAAATGAATGAATAAATAAAGTGCAATAAATAATTTAAAAAACCCCAAAAAAACAAAACAAAAAAAAAACACAGGGCGCATTTGCGTGCGTGCCCAAGATCCCAAGAGGAGAATGGAGGAGAAAGGATTGCGGCATGGCCATCCCCCCTGGGGGGTGATTTCTCGCTTTCTGTCTCTCTGTCTCTCTCTGTCTGGCGAGCGCATGCGCCCTATGACCAAAAATCTCTCAAAAAAAAATAAAAATGAGGAAACTGGAAGGTTTGGCACAGAAGACTGAAGGCAATGTGATGATGAAATAGTGAGAGAGATTTGAAGATAATTTGATGCTGACTTTAAAGATGGAGGAAGGTGTCATGGGCTAGGAGATGCAGCTCTAAAATCTGGAAAGGAGGACTGCTCCTATAGCTCAGTGGTTAAGGGAGCTGAATCTACAAGGCTGGCTATGGTGCAAATCCAAGCCATAGTGCCTTAAAAAAATACACTGGGCGCATGTGTGTGCATGTGTGTATGTATGTGATTGTGTTCCAAATCCTGACAGGAAGAAAAAATGGAGGAAAAAGGTTTGCAGTATGACCATATCCTGCTAGGGAGTGGTTTCCCTCTCTTTCTCGTGAGTGCATGTGCCCTGTTGGAGGGTGGGGTGAGGGGAGCGGGATAAGGTAAAAAAATAAATTCTTGGGGACCAGCAAATGGCATAATGGTTACGTTCTTGGCCTCCCATGTAGTTGATTGTGGTTTGAGTCCTGGGCTTAAAACTCATGTGGTGTGTGTGTGTGTGTGTGTGTGTGTGTGCGTGTGCATGCATAAAATTCTGAGAGGAGAATGGAGAAGAAGGGGTTGAGATGTGGTCATCCCCCCGGGAGATGACTTTTCTCCACACTCCCCTGGGGGGTGATTTCTCTCTTTCTCTGTGTATCTCTCTTTCTCTGTGTATCTGGTGAGTGCACGCACCCTGTAGCAAAAATCTCTCTACCTAAAAAAAGAAAAAAAAAAAGAATAGATTCTCTTGTAGAGTCGTCCGAGGGAGTATGGCCCTACCTGTTGGTTTCTGCCCAGTGAAGCCCATTTTGGACTTCTGGCCTCCAGAACTGTAAGAGAATATGTTTCTGTTGTTTTTACTCACTCAGTTTATAGTATTTGTTACAACACCAATAGGAAATTAACATATAACTTATCGTTTGAGCAAATGCTTTGTCCTCTCCAGAGTAAAATAGGAAAGCCCAGGTCAATATTCTAGAACTATCTACCATCCAGTATCAAAGTCAATAGCCACAGGTGACTGCTAAGCACTTAGAAGTTATACTTTGACTAATGTGGCTGATGTGGGGCTGTGAAAAGTTTGGGTCATTTTCCTATGAACAATGTAAATCCACTGGGTATGTGGGAAAAGAATATATTTGCATTTGGTGGGGATGCCTAGTGCAGGTAACCTTCCCTTGACCCAGCTGCAGTACTGGGCACCTGATCCAGGCCTGGCCAATCATGGAATGCAGTTTCTAAGGGCCGATGGGCTAGTACTGAGCCAGATGCCTTAGGGTCTTTCCCAGAGATCTGATATGACCATGGAGATGACAAGCCAGCTCTCTTTCTTCCAGAGAGGCTGAGTTGGGATTCTTCAGTACTAGACGTTGGTGACTGTGTTCCACTTCTCCCTCTGCCTGGAGGAAGTACACCAATAACCGAAAGACTAAAGCTGACATACAGAGAGTAGTAGAGCTAAACTGGTGAGTGGTACAGAAAGAGCCATTAGAGTCTGTGGTGTCCCTAAGGCCAGTTTTACCCCTCTAACTCATGAGGGTAAATCATCACAAATACCTGGAATTGTAAGAGTTAGTTTTGCCACCCCACGTGGAGTACACTCATCAGGTATGAAGCCAACATAAAGGAGGACAGAACTGAGGGACTGGGAAGAAAAGCTGGCATCCTGAAGATGGTCTTCAAAATTGTAGGATCCAATGTGTCTGACCCTGGCAGGACCTCTTGGTTGCCCCAATTCTGTGAGCAAGTAAGTTCTTTTTTTTCTTAAATATTTTGATTTATGCTATGATGTTTATTTTGATTTATGCTATGATGTTGACCCAGTCAAGCTTTATTAAAAAAACTAGCAAGGCCACTGTGCATTATTTAAAAAAAGAATTTGAAAAAAGATTTTTAAAAATGATACTATGAGGAGAAAAAGAAATCATTCAGAGATTCTTGAAAGAGCATTATGCAATAGAAGAAATAAACTATTTTCCAACAGCCCTGTTAATGACTGCAATAAATTCAGGCCCCAGAAAAATCAATTGCTTCCTTGCTAAATTCTATTTCATCCATCCTTTCCACCCTCCCGTTACTAGAGTAGAGTTGTGGCTCTAAAGAAGGCACATGTCTTTGATCTAAGTCATATTTTCCCCAATGTATTCATTTATTTAATAATCATCAAGTTTAAATCGTGTATATGTATCATGTACCACATGATGTTCTGGAAGATATTGTATTTGTAGAATAGCTAAACTGGGTTAATGAACTTATGCACTATTTCACATGCTTATCATTTTTTCGTTGAGAGCATTTAAAATCTACTCTTAACTATTTTCAAGAATACAGTATATTGTTATTAACTGTAGCCCCTTGATGTGGAATAGATCTCCAGAATTTATTTTTTCTGAATAAATTGTGGACCCTTTGACCAATATTTCTCCATTTTCTCCATATCCCCACAGTCCAGCCCCTGGTAGCTTCTACAAGTTCTCTACTTCTATAAATTCAGCTTTTTTAGATTCCACATATAAATGAGATCATGTATCGATAGTATTTGTCTTTCTGTGCCTGGTTATTTTCCCTTAACCTGATGTCCCCCAATTCATCCAGGTTGTCACAATGACATAATTTTCTTTTTTTTTTAAGAATGAATCATACTCCATTGTGTATATATGCTGCATTTTCTTTATCCATCCATGTACTGATGAACACTTAAGTTCATTCCATAGCTTGGCTATTGTGAATAATGCTGCAGTAAATTAGAATGCAGATTTTCCTTCAACATACTGATTTCATTTCCTTTGTCTACATATACCTGTGTGGGAGATTGTATGGTAGTTCTATTTTCAGTCTTTTTTAAAAATTATTTTATTTAACTTTATTTATGTATGTCTTTATATATTTTTAATTTTGACCAGAGAGGGACAGAGTGAGAGAGAGAGAGGGAAGATGAGAAAGCAAGCTGCCAGGTGTGAGACTCAAACCACAGTCAGCCATGTGGGAGTCCAATGCCTTTAACCACCACACCACCTGCCGGCCTCCTATTTTCAGTTTTTGAGGGCTCTCCACAGTGTTTTCCATAATGGTTGTACTAATTTATGTTCCCACCCATCATGCATGTACAAGGGTTCCTTTTTTCTCCGCACACTTGCTAGCACTTGTTACCATTCGTGTTTTTGTAATTCTAACAAATGTAAAGTGATAGCTCATTGTGGTTTCAATTTACATTTCTCTGAAGGCTAGAGACAGTGAACCTGTTCTTATATATCTGTTTGGCCAATGGTATGTCTTCTTTTGAGAAATGTC